GCAAATGGCATTATGTTGTTGGTTTTTATGGCTAAGTAGTATTCCATTGTATAAATATACCACATCTTCTTTATCCAGTCACCTGTTGATGGACATTTAGGCTGTTTCCATGTTTTGGCTATTGTAAATAGTGCTGCTATGAACATTGGGGTGCAGGTGTCATCCTGTGGGACATCTTTTCATAGACTCGTTTGGCATTTGTATATCTTCTTTGGTGAGATGTCTATTTAGATCTTTGGCCCATATTTTAATGGGATTGTTTGTTTTCTTATTGTTGAGTTTTAATAGTTCTTTGTGTATTTTGGATAATAGCCCTTCGTCAGATAGGTGTTTGCAGATGTTTTTCTCCCAGTCTGTGACTTGTTTTCTCATTCCCTTGACATTGTTTTTGTAGAGCAGAAGTTTTTAATTTTAATGAAGTCTAGCTTATCAGTTACTTCTTCTGTGGATCATGCCTCTGGTATTACCTTAAATGTTACCACCTTACCCAAGGCCATCTAGGTTTTCTCCTCTGTTATCTTATAGAAGTTTTACAGTTTTGTGTTTTGTATTTAGGTGTGTGATCCATTTTGAGTTAGTTTTTGTGAAGGATGTAAGTCTGTGTGTAGATTCACTTTTTACATGTGGGTGTCCAGTTGTTGCAGCACCATTTGTTGAAAAGACTGTCTTTGCTGCACTGTATTGCCTTTGCTCCTTTGTCAAAGATCAGTTGACTGTATTTATGTGGCTCTGTATGCAGGCTTTCTCTTCTGTTCTGTTGATGTATTTGTCTTTTCTGTCGCCAGTACCACACTATCTTGATAACTGATGCTTTACAGTAAGTTTTGCAGTAGGGTAGTATCAGTCCTCTAACTTCGTTTTTCTCCTTCAGTATTCTGTTGGCTGTTCTGAGTCCTATGTATCTCCATATAAACTTTAGCATCATTTTGTTGATATCCACAAAATAACTTATTGGAATTGCATTCAAACTGTAGATCAAGTTGGGAAGAACTGATGTTTTGACAGTATTGAATCTTATCTATGAACCTGTTATTCCTCTCCATTTATTTCATTCTTTGATTTTATTCATGTGAGTTTTGTAGTTTTCTTTGTGTAGCTCTTGTACACATTTTGTTAGATTTATACCTAAGTATCTCATTTTGGGGAATGTGAATATAAATGATACTGTGTTTTTAATTTAAAATTCCACTTTTCCGTAGCTGGTATTTAGGAAAGTGATTGACTTTTGTCTGTTAATCTTGTATCTTGCAACTTTGCTATTATCATTATTGCTACTTTAATTTTTATTTTGACTTTAGTGTCCCATGTCCTTAAAATGATCTACATGCTTTCACAAGGTGTCTGATCGTGACCATCCTCACTTGAGTTTGCCTGATAGCCATTTCATTTTCATTTGGTTTCCGGGTCATGTGGATCTTGCCACCTCTCTGAAGTACTTGCTTCTCTTCCATTTCTTTTAATTAAAAAAAATTTTTTTTTAAATTTTCATAGGGGGAGGTAATAAGTTTTTATTTGTTTGTTTGTTTGCTTGCTTGCTTGCTTGTTTTTTAATGGAGGCACTGGGGATTGAACCCAGGACCTCTTGTGTGTTAGCATGTGCTCTACGTGCACTGAGCTATATCCTCCCCCCTACTTGTCTTCCATTCTTGTCACTCATTCCTTCCTTGCAGATTTTCCTTTTTCATAACTTATTCATTGATTCAGTAAATGCTTGGTGATTGCCTCCGATGTTCCGGACCCTTTTCTAGGTGCTGGGCCAGAGGGGCAAGGGAGGCAGATGTGGGCTTAGCTGTTGTGGGGCTTACCGACCAGTGGTAGAGGGGGTCAGGCAGAAATGGCCAGTCAACAGAAGAGAAGGGATGTGTGGAGGAAGTCAGGCAGAGGGAGGGACCTGACACTGCACTCAGCAGGGAGGGAGGCCCCTTTAGGAGGCAGTCAGGTGAGGCCTCTTGAAGGAGGTGACATTCCAGCAGAGACCTACATGTTGAAAAGAAGCAAAAGCTGAGGGACATCTGGAGAAAGAGCATTCCAGGCCGCAGGAATAGCCAGTGCGAGAGCCCTGGGTGAGAAGGAGTGGGGTGGGTTTCACAGAAGGGACGTGGAAGTCCGCCAGTCAACTCTGTAGAAATAGAAGACCTGCACTTCAAATAGACTGTAAATCCAGCTTCCCAAGACATTTCTACTCGAGGGACTGGGGAGAGTCTCCATGGACCTAAATTTAGGGCCGGAAGACCCTCCACTCTGGTCAGGTATGGAGCGCCCACCTAGAGCTGCCGAGTGTGTTAGAGCTGCGACTGTGGCAGAGGGTCAGGACTGAAGGGCAAAGACCTACACTCAGGCCTTGCCTGTGTGATCTTGGGCGTTTCGTGACCCTCTGACCCTCCGTAGCTTCATCGAAAAGTTGAGTAGGGTAAAGACTAAATGAGTGGTGCGCACTTAGTAAATTATAACGTGCTGCATGCGATTTGAGTATCTTTATTGAGGGGAGTTGAGTCCAGATTTTCAGAGATGTGGTTTTCGGTGTGGAACAGATAAGAGGGGCCGAGTGGCTGAGGTTCTGAGCTGAGAAAGGAGGCTGTGGGCATCTGGCCAGGGGCCTGCTCTCCGCCACCACCCAGAGCGATGCCTGTGCCTGGGGTTGGCTTGCGGCTGCAGCTCGGTGCCTTCACTGCTTCTCCTCCCACGTTCTGTCCTTCCCAACAGGCTTCAGAGTCAGGATGACCTGATCACATCTGATTTTGTGTCTCAGTTTCTTTCGCCTCCCTCACTAGATAATAAGCTACTTGAGAGTGGGAACTATTTCCCGTATTCTTCCCACCCCTCCCTCTTTGTAGCATTTATCACGGTATAAATTACAGGGACCAGTACACAGTGAAGTGCATTTTAAGTTAAAATGCTCAACAGTGATCCTGATGACACTTGGTTTACTTATTCTGTCTGTTTAAGCTCCAGCTATAATTCATACCCATTTGAGAGTTCCTTGTTCCTGCCCCTAAACCTGACTTCCCTTTGTAGGACTAGACATTGGAAGAGTTGTCACGCCCTGTTCTTCAGCCCCCAGGTTTCCCTAGATGCCAATTAAGATTCCCTTTCCTGCCTGAAGATCATCCGTGGAAACCTTGGCCATGGCCTCCCTGTCAGAGCCGGTCACGTTCAGAGAGTTCTGCCCCTTGTACTATCTCCTCAATGCCATTCCCACCAAGATCCAGAAGGGCTTCCGCTCCATCGTGGTCTACCTCACCGCCCTGGACACCAGCGGGGACTACATCGCTGTGGGCAGCAGCATCGGCATGCTCTACCTGTACTGCCGGCACCTCAACCAGATGAAAAAGTACAACTTTGAGGTGAGTGCTTCCCTTACTCGTAAGCACAGGTGAGCCCTGGCCATGTTCACCTGCGTGTGACATGGGACAGTTTATCTCCGATTGGCTGGAACGTGGCCTTAGTGCCTTAACCACACAGTGCTTTAAAACCATCTCTGGTTGAGGTCCAACATCACTAAAAACGTTGATGCTTTTAACTCTTTTTTTCCTGCCTCCAAAAAGCTAGCGTTACGTTAAGAGAGAACATGACAGTGTTTAGCACTTAATAGAAAACTTTAGAAGTAGGTATTTTTTCCTGAGTGTTTCGTTTCTCAAAGGACCTTGACCACTTTACTTGAATAATTTCTAGTTGTTCTGTTGAAATTATTATGAAAAAAGGATTAGGATCAGTATCAGCTAGCTGCCAAAAACGCGTGCATCTTAAATGAGGTCACTTCTGTAGGACACCACCCCTGGGATCCTGACCGACTGTGTTCTGTGTTGGTTGACTCAGGCATCTCTGTGTATGGTAGGTGTTGGTTGACACCAAGTATTGATGGACTATCTTTGAATTCGCCCATTTAGTTAATATCTGTGATTTGTTGAGTACATGGCTTTTGGGAGAGACTCATAGGTGACTGGGTTGTGGCTCCTGCCTCATGGCCCTGTGGGCTCTGCTCTGTGTGTGGTTACTGGACCTTTACAGACTAAGACAGGCTTTTGTGTTTAAGAGAAATGTTTACAAATGTTTACATCTTAGTGGATATTCAAATTATTGAGGTTTAATTTATAAAGTTAGTTTTTCTGAAGGCTTTATACTCAATTTAAAATAACAAAAATGGTTAGCATGCTCATAGCACTTAACTGTGTGCCAGGCATTATTCTAGACCTTTACACATATTAACTCATTTCATCGTCACAGAAACTCTACCAGGTAGATGTCATTATCATCCCTGTTTTACCAGGGAGACAGCTGAGGCACAGAGAGGTTACGTGACCTGCCAGAGGCAGTTAGGAAATGGTGCCACCATCGTCTGAGCTTGGGGAGATTAGCTCTAGAGTTATTTTATTTTTTTATTTTTGGCTCTACAATTTGGAGTTAGACTGTTAGGTTAGGTGTGTAACTTGAAAACAAAGTTAAACATCTGCATGTAAAGCACAAGAGAAAAGATTTAGAGGGACCCCCCCCCAAACTGTTCATCAAACTATTGCTGTTTCTTTTCTTTAATAGCTCATGGATATGACTGATCAAGTTTTCCAAACATTTAAGACCATTATGTAGCTAATCTTAAAAATTATGGTTGTAAATTAATATATCTGAAATCTCTCAAATATGTCAGCACTTAGCAAGGAGAACTTATCTCCAGCAGTGAACCCCTGACAGGATAGACCAAAGAAACCATGCCCAGACACATCATAATCAAACTGCTGAAAACTACAGACAAAGAAACATCTTAAAAGTAACCGGAGAAGACTGATGCAGCACCTGTTGGGAACAGCAATTCGAATGACTGCAAGCTTTTCATCAGAAACTATAGAGGCCAGAAGACAGTGGTACAGCACTTCTAAAGTGCTGAGAGAAAAGAACCATCAACTCAGAATTTTTACAGCAAAAATATCTATCAGGAAGGAAGGTGAAATAAAAATATTCTCAGATGAAGGAAACTAAGGGGATTCGTTGAAAGCAGACCTGCTCTAAAATAATTGCTTCAGTAAGTTCTTTAGACAAAAGAGAAAAGATACCAGCAGGAAACTTGGAATATCAGTCATGAAGGGAGAATGATAGGAAATACAGTAGACTGTTTCTCTTCTCTTGAGTTCTTCAAGATATATTTGGCAGTTAGCAAAAATTATAACATTGATCGAGTTTTCAGTGTGTACAGATGTGGTAATACGTAAGACAGCTGTAAGACAAGAGGAAAGAGGAAGGGACCTGTTTGGTGGAAAGGTTTCTGCTCTCTACTTGAAGAGGTGAGATATTGAGTCTAAATAGGTTTTGAAGAGTGTGCATCATGCCTGTTATGGTAATCCTTAGAGCAACCATTAAAAAAACCTGTACAACATGGAATAGTACAAGTCACTACAGATGTAGCAAAAGGGAATTTTTAAAAATATTCAAACAACTCGGGAAAGTAAGAAGGGGAAAACAGAAGAAGGAAAAACAGAAGGAACAAACACAAAGCGAATGAAATGGTAGACCTAAATCAAAACATGCCAGTAGTTTTGGAGACTTCAGCACCCCTCTCTCAGTGATGGAAGTAGTAGATAGAAAATTAACTAAGTTATAAAACTGAGCAGCCCCATGACCGTTGTGATCTAATTGATGTTTACAGAACGCTCCACCCACCAGCAGCTGAATATACATTCTTTACAAGGGAACACGGAACGTTCACTAAGATAGACCAGGCTCTTGGTCATAAAACACACCTCAACAAATTTAAGTCAGGGCAGACTTCACATAAAACCACAAACCCTCAATGTGTAAAAAAAACACAGTGTCTGTGAAGTGCAGTAAAATGGGGCACACCTGCACCTATGTTTAAATTTTCAGCCACCAAATCGGAAAAGCTTAAGGAAACAAGAATTTAGTGGTCCCCAGAATGAAACTACAAATTATACCTGACTCCAGTTTTCTAGCTTTCCTAGAGCTCGTTTTTTATTCATCACAGGGTGAGCGCTGTGAGCTTTGGAGGGGTGTGTGTGTGTGTGCTAGGATAGTTTCTGTGGGGAGGAGCGGAGCTTGGGGGAATCTGCCACAAATTACGGGGCCCAGCAGAGTAGAAGGAAAGTCTGGGGGAAGATGCCATGTGTACACTTCTACCTGGCTTTCCCTTACTGAGGGACCATGAAAAATGTATTCTGCTGGGGCCAGAATCCACACTTGACAGCTCTAAATATCAAAATCATTTTTGGAACACCCGTAAGGTATAGAATATAAACATAATTGTGGAGAATCAGAAAGGAAGTAGAAAATAAAAATTCTTCTGTGGAAAGAACACAGAATTTGGAGTTAGACTGTGGTTAGGTGTTTAACTTGAAAACAAAGTTAAACATCTGCTTGTAAAGCACGTGAGAAAAGATTTAGAGAAACACCCCCAAACTGTTCACCATGATTCTCTGGCTCTAGCAGGGCTAAGACTGAGGCGGGGGTGTGAGGGAGAGGGAAGTACTTCTTTTTTTTTCACGTTAAGTCCCATCAGAGTTCTTTTTAATGGCGATACTGGGGGTTGAGTCCACAGCCGCGTGCATGCTAAGCGTGTGCTCTGCCCCTGAGCTACACCCTCCCTCCTGTTAGAAGTGTTTGCTGATGAGTGTGTTTTCAGGTATTACTTGTGCAAACACAACGACACAAAGGTTTGTTTTGAATTTGGTCATTCATTAGCTGTGTGGGCCTGGAGCTGAATTAAGTATTTGTATCACTGTTACTGTGACTTTCATCTTTAGAGCTGCCTGAGTCTTAGCGTCGTTCAGAACAAGCCCTGTGTTTTACAGATAAAGAAACGGTAAGATTCCTGCTCCAGCCACAGCACTGGTTGCCTAACCATTGTGCGGTCTTCCTGTGTGAGCAGTTAGGGCTCCCATGGAAGTCTGGTTATAGAGGACAGTTGAAACCAGATTTGGAGTTTCTTTGGAATTTCCAAGTGGAAATTGAGAGATTGCATCAACTTGTTTAATTTAGGGAAAATCTAAGATGTTATGGGAAGGTAAATAAAAATGGAAGTTAGTTTACCTCCTAATAGATCCATGTTTGGAATGGGTGAAAGACTATGTCTAAATAAAGTTGTGTTCCAAAGAAGAAAGTGGACCTTTTATGTGGCAAATAGAACCTGATGTGTTTTCGAGAATAATGCTTTTGGAAACCTTTATTTTTCCTGCACAAGTTAGTGGGAGAGGGCAAATGGAGACACAAGAAATTCTTCCTAGCTGAGTGCCAGAAACATGAGGAAAACTGTAAGGAGCTAATAACAAGGGCAAAAATGTTGCAAACTTGTTAAATCTATGGGTGTGTCATATGTAAGTCTAGACCAGAAAGATGACTTGACCTATGTTTCTGATTTTCTGCTTTGAAACTAAACGTGTGAGCTCTTTAGCATTTAGCACTTTGTGGAAATTTCCTGGATTTGCCTTCAGAACTGTCTCTGCGCCAACCGCAGTGACACTAGGGCTCGTTTCTGCAGGTTTTCCACACTGATCTCGGATGAATTTACTCACAAGTACGTACTGGGTGCCTGTTCTGTGCCAGGCCCATTTTAGGTCCCGGAGCCACAGTGGAGAACACAGCAGGCAGATCCCAGCCTCAAGGAGCATGGAGTCTGATGGGGGAGAACCAGAAAAACACAGAAACACAGACTAGCAGGAGAGGGGCCGGGGGAGGATGAGCAATGGCTGGGGTGGGTGGCCACAGGTAAACAGGAAGTTAGGAATGTCACACCAGGCTGCGGTGTCTGGTGGAGTATTCCAGGTGGAGGGAAGGAGAGGCCTGGACGTGGCAGCACAGCTGGGTGTTTTCCAGTTAGAAAGCTCACGCCTGTTTCATTGACTTACGCCTGTCATGGTTTGCAAAGTGGTGCAGAAATGAGTTTTGGTATCACCACGTCAGCCAGAGGTGCATTTACCTAACGCCTCCCTCATCGATCCCCTCTGGAAGTAACCCTTAGATCTGCAGGTTAGGACCCTGTGGTCTAAATTCGTATATATCAGTAGCATTACGAGGTAGGTTTCACTGGTGTCCTCGGCATTGAGAGCCACAATTCAGTAGCTGCGAGGAACTTACTAGCTCTCACATTTGTTTTTCAGTGACTCGTTATATTTTATTGGATATCCATTCTGCCTTAAGTGACCAAAGTTCAGTTCAATAGCAGGTTTTTTTAATGGCAATTGACAGGGTGACTTAAAAACGTATTTGAAATTGTAATGGGTCAGGAAGAGTCAAGACACTCTTGGAAAAAGAACAAGATGAAGAAGTTGCTCTACTGAGTAGCAAGGCTGTAAAGCTCCAGTAATTAAGACAACGTGGTGTTAGCACAAGAATAGATAGATAG